ATTAATATTCTTAAATAAAAATAATAGAGATTATATATATATATATATATATATATATATATATATATATATTTATATACATATATATATATGTGTGTGATTATTATTGTTATTAAACTTTATAAATCGAGTATACAATTTAACTTAATATAGGAAGATTATATATTTCTTAAAAATAACCTGACACATATGCGATTTAATTACTAAATTAATTATTAATATTTTATTTGAATAAACCCTATAAATCTAATAAGTAAATAAATATAAAAGAAAATATATGATTTCTGATACATATGAGATCCAAAATAGTTTTATATAGCCATATTTGATCGTTATTACCTTTATTTATCCAATACAATACTTTATACAAAAAAAAAGATCAGATTTTTCTTGAAAAATAGATTCTTAGATTCGCCAGATTGAGGAGTAGAAGTGAGGCACATCTAGAAGCAATATAAGGAAAATTCGGCGCGGCGAATACTGTGCTATTCCTTACAACTATTTGATATAGCAATCATATATAGCTTAGAATCATAGTAAAGCATTTCAACGTCAAGTTATTTTGAGAAAGTGACTATTGCATACACGACTTAATTTTCGACCGATCAATGGCAGCTATATGATATAGTTTTTCAATCCGATCGACTCCGACAAAGTATGTGCTGCCGGAGACAAAAAAACGAACAGACTGTCGTCAACTTTATCAACTGTTAATGCTGTTCAAAGATATGTTTGTTTTATGAGGTGGAAGTCTGAACTCGGGTCGTAACTAAAATTGAACAACCTCCACATTGGTATAATGAAAAGGGGTTATCCTTACGATGCCAACCAATGAATATTTTTTCAAATTGAATAATTAGGAAGACACTCGTTCGACCATTAATAAATAAAAATAAAAAGCAGGTATATATTGGTATACTTGGTTAAATTAACTAACTAGATTTTTTATGGATCTAAGCCTGGCTGATTCTGAGCAAGAATATTTGAGCTCGGAGATATACTTTTCGACTAATCGCCTTAGCTATATCATATAGTGGAAATATACGAGAAGCATAGTGAAAGTAATAAATTCCGAGTTTGGTTTGGATATCTTAATAAACAAAGAACTTTTCCATACAAGAACTTACTTTTTGACCGATCGTTCCTATGACAGCCGTATGATATAGTAGTCTGATCCGGTCGATTCCGACATATTTACTGCCTGCTACAAAAAGACGGACTTTGCAAAGTTCCAAGAGGAAAGATATATGGACGGACGATCAGGCGGACATGACTATATCAACTCGGCTGTGGATGTTGATCTAGAAAATATATACCTTATGGGATCGGAGCTGTGCATGTCTACACCTTCTTCTAACACCCTACAATAGGGTATAATAATGAATTTATAAAGATCAGGCTATTCGGCTCAGATGTGGCAAATGTTAATAAAGTATCTGCGTGAAAAAGTACATATTTAGATTAGTGCGCATATACACCATTATCTGGAAACTATATATGTCTGTGTAAAGTGAGATTTTGTTGTTCTATTGTAACCCAAACAGCGTGATCTGACAGCATTAAGATAAGAGCACAATCGAAGTTGGAAATCGACTGAGCAAACAGTTTTGGCCAACACGACGCCAAGTTCAAGAGCGGCTTATCGGGCTGTCAATGTGGGAGAGGAGCTAAGCAACTGGCATTTACATTCGCACAGTGATAATGGGAAAATCGTGGTGGGCGGGGGGAGGCGATTGCGATAAGCGCTGTGCCATAAACCAATCAAGAAGCGTCTGAGCCGGCGCCTGTTTTGGGCTGCGGGGCGGCGTACCTGTGGACGGGGCTTAACCTGACTGCGGTCTCACATCCTATGGCTGTTAAAGTGCTGCATGTGGCAGCCGTGGCACTGGTGGCAGGTAGCCATTTTGAGTTGATAGATTGGCCCGTCCCGACGATTTGTCAGGCCAGTGCTGGCCGGGTTGGCGGACATGTTGCTGCCTGTTGCGGCAGTTCACGTAGTGCACGTAGGTAAAAGCCGGGCAATGGGCACAACAATTAAATTAAGTGCCTCTGGTCCGACAATAACAAAATCTCTGCACAAAAAACCCAATAATATGTGACAGTGGACTCAATTTGTTGCATTACTGTACACCAGGGCGAAACAAACAACAATAACAAAAATATTTTGCTTTTAATGGAAACGTTTTTGGCCGGACATACACATATGTATATAAATATATATATGCATACATAATATATTGTTAGCAAAACATGAGGAAAAGTTTGGCCTTTAATTGAGTTTAATCTTCTTCCTTTTTTTGTTTGGCCAGCATTTTATAACAATTTAAAACTTTATTTATATGTGCTTTTCCCAAGGCATTTAAAGCAATTTAGCCATCTTTAATATGATTATATATTTATTTATGTATATGACAGCCAGCAGTAGAAGACTTTTAAATAAATAAATTTCTAACAATTCCGAACAAATTTCTGGCAAGTTTTTATGATAGGAGAAAACTTTTAAAAAATAAATTCCCAACAAATTTCGGGCAATATTTTAACCAGCTTTAAGTTCTGATATTTATTCGATACTCGTTAATATTTTGCTTATGATACGACAGTCATATTTATAGCTGAGCACCTGCACGCCGAATATTAAATACCCTTGCACAAAACTTGAGTTTCGTCTGATCCCATATAATCCTATATGAGCCATACAATAGAAGGAAAGCTGAATATTATACAGTTTTTTTTCGAGATATCTTGAAAACATAATAGCTTGCCATAAAAAAACTACGTTTTAAACCGATTTCTTCTATAGAGTTTTGGCCCACATTTCAGCATAAGCATGCTAACACTGGTAAATGCCAAGTTTAGTCGAGATATCTATTAGAATTAAAGAGTATTTCGTGCTTGAACTAAATTCTGAATCGCGCATTCCTAAGGCAGCGACGTGATATATACATACATATGATATAAAGTTAGAACAGAAATCGGTAGATAGCTTTATGGACGCGACAATTGATACTGTTAAAGAATGTGAATATACTATTAAGGGTCTAAAAAGCCGTCTCTCTGGGGATCAAAAACATCTCCTTCTTGGCGTTACAGATTTCGTGACAAAATAGTAATAGCATCTATAAGGGTAGAAATAGAGTAGATGTCTATCAAGGATGAATACGTTTTCTTTTTTTTTACGAAACACGCGTTGTTTGGCTTTAATGTTCAACGCATGCCGAATCCGATTACCACTTCATTAACTTTTGGAGGCGCCACTCGGGTCATTAACGATACAATTTTAACGAGCTGCCCGATTTCAATGTGCCAAAGATTCTTATTCCAGAAAATGTTTTTAGCAATTTTAACTCGCACAGTGCCTGGTTGAGCATCCTTCAAACTTATGCATGTACTTGACAATATATATGTTGTTGTTATATGGCCGAGAGAATAAAAATCGTTCCCATTGTCTGTCGCTAGAAGGAAGCAGTAAGTCCGAAAATAAATAAACCACCCCCGTTTTGGGGCAGAGACTGAGATGAGCTCTGTCAGCAACAGATCCCAAAAATTCCAACCAGTATTATATTACAAATCGACGCAAAATGTTATGATAGAAAATGAGATTCTATTTCCAGCTGGCTGCTAAATGAGAGTAGAAGAAAAAAAGTCTGCTCATAAGTATAATTAAAAAACCATTTATAATCATTTTGTCGAATCCTCTGACCCAGCCAGAAGCCAAGCATAGAAACCAGCTTTCTCCTGCCCGCAGCCAAGCCAGCTGCCACTTGAAGTCCAGCCAAGTCCGGCGCTGACAATTTCCGACTGTGGGCGCCCAAAAAAAAAAAAGCTGAACAAAAACATGCAGGACCCATAAATACGCACATAAAGCGACAGGGTCCATGCTCCATTCTCTGGGAAGAAGCCCACAACGCCAATGCCATTGAGTTTGAATTATGTCAGCGCAGTAATAAATTGCTCAGGGCATTAAATTAAAATATACGATACGTGTGTGTGTGTGTTTGTACATGCAATTTTTGTGGCGCAACTAGAACGTGAACCCACACGTACAAGCACACACACACACACGCACACACACGCGCACGCACACATGAGTGGGGAGGCGGCAATGGACGCCCAATAGGATTTGTGGCGAGAATTTACTACAAAATGGCAAACATGTATCGCTTATACATATACATATACATATACATATATATATATATATATATATATATATATATGTATATATATATTAGTGGGTATGGAAATAAAATAGGATTTTGAGGCATTCATTCGAGCCTTGACAACTCTTTTTTTCCCTTTTTTTTGTTAAAAATATATAACACAGTCTGGCAGGACACCCAACAGCATGATGTTTAGCAATGTGGGCGGAAATGCCATCAAGGTGAGCATTTAAATAACTGTGCGGTTTTTAAATTACGATTATTGTTTAGTTGCTTCCCTAAAATGCACAGAAAATGGACTCTAGTATGCCAGTTTAAATGTTTTTATATTACTTAAGGCTTGCAATTCTCAACAAGTTATAGCATTTGCAAAGGCGACAAAGCATTTGCAATCCTAGAGTCGATGGAAATATCTGCTGGTTATAGTTGGTTATGACTGCTTGTTTTTTGTTTGTTTATTTCATTTTTATATATAAGTAGATATTTTATATTAGTATAATATTGGTACTTGTTCTTGAAAGTTTCATTAAAACCAATTGTCATTATTAGTTTTATTTATATTACTTAAAATGTACATTTCTAGAATCGCCATGAGGTTCTTATCCCCAACGGGCAGCCGGGGTTTGAATTGCAGCCAAAGTATGATCTTAGGCAAAGGTCATAGTATCCAGAGCCATTTAAAAGGTAAGATTGATACTTATAGAAAATGTATATACAAAGTATTTGTTACATTTAGTATATATATTTTGTACATGCGTATATGCAAAACATTTGTTACATTTATTTTGATATATTTTTAACTTCATCTGACTATCTTACCTATTTTAAATATTTTTATAAAAAGTTATTTATGTATACAGAAATGCTATGATTTTCCCTGACCACAAATCTCTTAATACTCTAGTTTGAATAGTGCGAAACAAAGGCAAAATATTCGATAGAAATCCAAGCACAGAGTTCTCTTTTATTAGCCGGAATACATTTATCACATTCGTATAGCTAACTTCTTTTATTACATTCGTGCACATAAAACCTGGCAAGCTTTGTATAAAATAAATTCGAGTGTGATATATGGGAGTCACACGCCAAATTTGGCAAGCGCCCCTATAATTTGGGGTAACTATACAAATACATAAAATGCGTTTAACGAGCTGCTAGTGATACCAGAAGATAATGTAGACTTAATATGTAAAAAACTGGTGTGTTTGGACTTTCCAACTTGAATTTACATTAGAAAAATGACAAACTCTTAAATGTAAACATAAAACATCCATATTTAATTGTTTTTTGGTCCTGCTTATTTGTGAATATTTGTCTCTTTAAAAATGGTAGCAAAAAAAGTAGAATATGCCTACACGACGTAATTATACTATATATAAAGTGGATAAACAATTGTCGTTGTACAATATGATTCTGTAGCATAAGAAGAACACATTTTTGTTATATTCTTGAGCGGAATTTTAGAGTATTTACATAAAGTGTCACTCGATGCATCGTCAAGTGGAACCCAGATTAATATTAAAATCAAACATATTTCTATAAGTCGTTAAGCTACTTATATATAAAAAAAAAAAAACATTGTATTTGTATTGATTAGCCGGAGCAGCCGCGACAGCCGCAGTGGACGCATTCCACAATGCGGCCCTCCTCCAGCTTAGACTTAGGCACGCGGCAAATGCAATTGGTGCCAAAGTTCGTGTCGCGTGTTTGGATGCATCGCAGGCAACATAGATTCTCATAGCCGGACTTCTTCCATTTGGCTATTAAATTGGAGTCGGCAATTTTCTCCTTCAAACAGTAGTCGTACAGCTCGCGGCTGATGGCCTTGCGGCGGTAGAACAAGTCGTAGATGTAGCGTGTCTTCTGGTGGTGTATTTTGAAGATGGGCCACAGCGATTCTGTGATGCGTTTGCCCTCATGTGGTTCGGTCTCGGCTGCAAATATCCAAATGCTTTATATGCGGCCACATGTAGTAAGCGGGCATTTGGCATTTTAACATACCCTCGCGCATTTTTTGTTCCAGCTCCTCTAGCGTCGGTTCGATTAGCTCCCAGCCATCTGGTGGTGGTTTACGACTGCGACGGACTTTTGGCATTTCTTTTTTTTTTATATTTTTTATTTTTTTTAACAAAGTGAAGTAACTTAATATGCTACAAAACTAAAACTAAGCGCAAAACAGCTGTCGATGCCCAAATCTAGTCTAGTGTTGCAAAACACTCGCATTACAAGCAAGCATAGCACTGATTGTCAGAGCTGTAGCGAACATTCACATCGATAGCTGCACAGAGTATCGATAACAAGCTGTAGTTTATTTTTCATTTCAGTGTATATGTAATCGTAGAAGTAATGAGTTGATTGTTTTTGTTATTTCTATTTGACCGACGCGTGTGATTGCTATTGTACTGTTTTTTCTTTTTGTTTTTGTTAATGTTATTTACCTAATTTGTTCTGCTTTGCATTTATTAATTGTTAACAAAATAAAACAAAGCATCATTTAAACGAAGCCACAACAGCACAGCCAAAAGTAAGCAAACCCCAAAAAGTCAGACGCACTCGAAAAAGATATCTGTTGTGTGTGGTTGTAGTTGTGTGCATGTGAATGTGAATGTAATATGCAGCAGCAGCAGGCAGCAGCAGCCAGCAGCCAGCCAGCCCACAGTAAATCGCATTGGCAAACAACTTCAGCGCCAGCGCAGCTTCACACGCGCTATAAGACAGTTGTTTAATTGCCATCGACTGCGTAGGCGGGCACCTCGTTTTGTCTCTCATGCGCCGTGACAGTAAATACTAAATAATTACACGATCAAATAACAACTTTAAGAAAAAATTTAGGTGTGTTAACGTGTTGTGTGTGGCTGTGTGCGCCTTTTAATGCAAGACACTTTTCTCAATACATACAAACATAGATATGTATGTATGCATGCATGCGTGCGTTTTATTATAATTAGCTTGTTATGACGTCGCTGGCTCACAGTGATTGTATTTGTTGTAACGCATCGCTTTCATTCATAAGTCGTTGGCTTTCTTTACGGCAAGGCACAAGACATTAGCAGTAACAACAACAGCAGCAACAACAACAAGAACAACAACAACAAGAACAACAACAACAAAACAAAGAAGCACTTGGCCTTCGCCTAATGCGCGCTCTTGCTCGCTCGGTCGCGCATTCTGTTTCTTCTTGTGTGCTTCTCTCCCTTGCCCGCCCGTCACCGATTGCTACTGCATTTCCCATTCATTTGGCGATTGGCGTGTATGCTTTGGTTGTCATTCGTATTCGTTGTATTCAGTGCATGGTACGTGAAATAACAAATTTAAGCGCGCGCACTCACACATTTACAAAGAGAGATCGCCAGCCCCCAATCTGTTGGCACATTTAAACGCCCCCTTGACGGGATGTCTGTGTCGGAGTGTGTCTGTCTCTGTATGTGTGTTTGTATGTGTGTGTGTGTGTAATGAGCGCATTAAATCTGTATTGTTTTGTTTTTTGTTTCACATTCCTCATTTTTGCTATTTTCCGCAATTTGCACACACATACACATACACACACACACACACACACACACTCTATTGTTGAATTTGAGCAGCTCCACTTGCAGCGCATTCCATGAGCCGAGTCACCTCTCGCCGGTTACCTGCCAATTGGTCATGGCGTTTATCTAATTTGTCATGTTTGTGCAAAGCACTGCTAAGACTTGAAGTCGACCTAACGTAGCTTCGCATATCGATAAGATAGTCGGGAAGTCATGTGTGTACTTACCATAGTTAAAAAAAAGTACCACTAATTATACCTTAATATGATTACACTAACTAGATGGGTTAGTGCATTATATTTTCGGTCTTCTTAATAGCATTCGAATAATAACATACATATGTATTAAAATATGGGTGCACATCTTATATCGCAAAAGTTTGGCTTTGATATCCACACATTAACGTGAAAGATGGTTGGAAAACTCTTGTATGCTACTTGTAATATCCTCAGCATGACACTGCACAATTCATGTCACTTACGTGGTCAAATCGGTGGTCTAATGCATCGTATAGTTTATTAATGCTTTCCCATAGTCGTGCCATTGAGAATCAGATGTTTTGCACACCTCATTCACAGGAGCAGCTATTAATTGCCTTTCTCACATACAGCTCACAATAGTACTAATACTTAGTACTTTGTGGCAGCACCTGCATCTCGCTTACAGCATCTTTCACATGCTTGTCACATGTTTTTTTTTTTTATCAATCAAAGCTCTGGGTTCCCAGATATTAATGGCCCATTTAATTGCTTAACAAAGATGCTTAGTATTTATACCCTGAACCCATAAAAACGGGGTAAAAAGGGTATAATGTTTTTGTGAACATGTGAAAAGAAAGCATCTCTGATCCCATACATTATATATATTCTTGATCAGCCTCAATAGCCAAGCCCGTATGTCTACACTCAAGGATCTCAGAGCCTGCAAGAGCTAGAGACCTGATATGTTGAACGTAGGTCCTGCTAATGCTCACGCAGTGCGAGTATGTCCGATAATCGAAGCCGTTTCCAAGCAATCCATGAAAAGCGTTGTCGTAATGCTGTCTTTTGAGCAAATCTCGCGGTTTAACCGTCACCAAATTTGTGAAGGAAAGCTTCTCAAATAGTATATATATATATATATATATATATATATATATCAAGTATCTTTCATTTTATAGCCATCGTCACCCCCGCCCGCGTCCCTTGGCACCCCAACAAGTGTGGAAGAGGGTTCAGGGGAACTCCCGACTAGAGCCTTTTGCTTGTTTTATTCTGTTTGAACGCCGCAAATATCGTATTTCGAATTCAAAGTAAAATTATAAAAAATGTATATGAAGTTAAATTTATATTCCAAAATGGAGCATGCATGAATTTTAGATGCGCAATGCTGTGAAATCCAAACAGGTTGATAAGCTTTGGCAATAGCTCGCTTTGCACGAGCTAATGCTGTTCAGCTACATTAGCTTTATTGTATATATATGTATTATCAGTACATGTATTTATCAGATGAATGTAACTGACGCGTAGCCCTGTCAAATAGCAAATGCGCGTTAATTGCCGGACAAATAGTTATTGACTTGAATATGGGAAGCAGCAGGGAAAGTTGCGATACAACAATTCAACCTTATACTTCTTAAATCCGAATTATTGTACTACTCATACGCACATGTACATACATGTTCATGTACATGTTAATCGAATAAGTCATGCACTATAATTTAAAACGCAGAACAACCTTGAAGAACTGAAAGAAAATGTCGGAAAGGGAAGCGTTCGAAATTCGATAAGCAAAAATAGAATTCTGTCAAAGCTCCATGCAGCTGCAACAATTTCCATGTATTCCAATCAGTTCCAACATTTATCAATATCGAATATTTCCCTTCAATAGTTGTATAATATAAATAATGCATTCAATTGAACAGCAATAAGAAAAAATATACTTTAAAAAAGAGCTCGAGAATAAATAACGGATTACTCTTTTGGAAAATTATGAATGAGAAGCGTAAAAAAAAATGGTAGACATTATAAAATGAATAATATAGGAATTTCAACGTGAATTAAATGAAATAATGTTCTGTTCTCTTTTCTTACAGTCAGCTAGGGCCTCACCATGGAGCCCACAGCTGCCGGCAATCTGCTGGAGATCATGGATCTGGCACGCACCCTGCGCCAGGAGCAGCTCTTCATTCAGCACGAGCAGGCGGCCTTTGCCCAGCTCACCGGTGCCCTGGAGACCAATGCGGCGACAATAACAAAGGTTCGCACCCATATTTACATATTAACGATGTCACGTCGCATTGCTCTTTATTTAATTAACATCTCCGCCCTGTTTTATCTCCCCTCATTTAGCTGGCGTACATCTGCGCTCAACAAAGACAAAACCTGCATGATCTGCTGCTGGCCAGAACGGATCATGATCCGCTTCTCTGTTGCCGACGTGCCAGCGCCTACGACAATGCCCCATTTATGGATGCCAAACAGGTGTTGCCCTACGAGGTGGGTAACGCAAAACGAAATATATGTGTTCATATTCATATATACGATATATATCCATGTATCATGTAAATATCAGTTGGCTTGGGCGCATGCAAATCCAGACAACAAAGAACATTTTCCGATGCGAATAGAGGAAACATTCATTTAGATACAGATTTGCCCTTGTACGCGTAGTCGTTATATTTCCGGAAGCTATTTAGTTCAAATATAATGTATGTCGGTAACTTTAAGGCGTAAATTGTAGTCGGCAGTTATCAGCAACTCATGTGACTTAATCGAACCTACATATTGGCTATTTAGTCTGACGTTAATATTAACCATCAGTTAATTGGCCCATTGTAATGCTTGTGGAGCAAACGAAGGGAATGAAATAGGTTAGCTGGTAATAAGTCGAGAAAATAGTTCATTAGTGGCCAGTCTTGACGCTGGGCTGGTGTCCTTATCATCATCTGCTTCTCGGAACTCGAACTCAAACTCTAAATATCGCGCTTAGTGTGCCGACACTTTATTACTCAATCGAATAATTGGGAACTGTCATCAAATCTAAACAAAAGAAAGAAAGAAAAATCAATTTCTTTACTGTGTCGCATTATTATTGATTTTCTCATTGTGAATAATAAGAAATTAAACATGTATAAAAATTGAATATTTCTGCTGAAATTACCAGCTACTTCTCGCTCGTTAGTCCGACGCTCAGGGAGCTAAGCCACGCTGGCTCATGACGTCACGCTTGCAGACGTATATTTGCTGTTCTTTAAAACCCATTCCGCCGTATTTTCCAAAACAACATCTTAGTGCTCAGTTTCAACACACCTTAACGCCTTATCGTTGTTTAGGCGTTAATCACCAATAAGTCGGGACAAACTCTTTTATATATGTATAATATATATAGATAGAGATAGTGTAAAATGTGATGATTTGTGTTTGTAACCAGTTTTGTGTCTCTCGCTATCTCGCACTCTAGCACGCTCTTGCCTATGAGGATCTGTTCAACTATTTGTACAACGCGCCATATTTGCTGGCCCTGTCGCTGGCCACAGCGGATCGTCTGTCGCTGCTGGCGCCGGCGCAGCTGGGTCAGATCGTGAATACGATTGCAACAGGTCTCTATGGGAATGCGATCAACACAAAGGATGTGGAGCTGCTGCTTAAGCTACTGCGG